TAAATATAATATAATAACAAAAGCCAGATGCTTCATGTAATTGATGTTTCATTATGTATGATTCATCATTTAATTTTAAATCAATGTTATTTATTTGTTCATTAGTACTATTACATCGTTCTTTAAGTGTTTCTTTATAAAAAAAACATTATCAATATCATCCTGTGTTAAAATATATTTTTGAATTAATATAATTTTTTTTATTTCTCTTGGGTTTGGAATAGTTATTGATATTTTCTTTAATATTGATTCAAAATCTGCATACATTGTGAATGGAACCTTTGTTGTATATTTATAATTTTTAAATTTATTTGCTCTCCTTTTGGGGGTAAAGTGATTTTTCAGCTTCATTTCTAGAACAATCTTCAGTGTGTTAATTAAATTTTTCTCAGGAATAAAAGCATTGAAGACACATATCACATATACAAGTTTTACTTTTATGATTTTTTCTTGTGCAGAAAGCAATTTCGATAAATCTTTTATCCCATGATGATGTGAATTTTGCTCAGCTGCATCTGCTTTAACTTATGCTTTATCATCTTTGAAATAAAGTAAATTTATATGTTCTTCCTTTTTATTCTTTGTGCGTTTTGTGAATATACTGTGGATTTATCATCAATAAAGTATATGTTTATAGATGTATGAATTTTATTTTTTATTTTTGGTACATCGTCAATTTTAATAGGATATTCATATTTATCTATTAGTTCATCAATATTAAGACCCATGTTTTTATATTTAGATACTCTATGTGAATCTTTTTCTACTGGAAACAACGCAGATTTTATTGCCCAAGGAAAACTTTTTTGATCATAATTATTAACATCTATGCATACTTTTTAATTTTTAATCACTTCTAGTAGGACAATATATGATGCTCCACTTAATGAATTATACATATTTATTGCTAATTGTATTCCAATTATTTTATCTAAAGCCCATCCAGAATCTCTTTTTTGAAATTCAGATAATTGTGTATTTCTTGTATTATGAATTTATAAATTTTTTAAATATCTCCAGCTTTCAATACTGTATATTTGGGTGCTTGAAAAAAAGCGAACAAGTGTACTTGATTATTTTCTTGCTTATGAAAATTAGTATATAATTTAATATTGGTTTTCGCACCTCTAAATATTTTAAGATTATTGTGTATTATCTCAAATATCTTATTTTTTGCTGAAGTCAAAAAATTATTGGGCTGTGCTAAATTAAAGGTATTTTCAATGTTATATGTTGATATTCTACGTTTAAAAACTTTATTAACTAAGTAATTTTTGTTGCTTCTACTTCAATTTTTTTTGTTAACAAAATAATTGTTATTGAATGGAAATATTTCTGTTAATTATTTTTTATCTTTGGGATAAAATTCATTGATATTTGCATCAGCCAACGTAAATTTTTAATATTATTCTTTGTTCTTTTTATCTGCTTTCTTTTTCTCTACCCGTCTATAACCAGCGGCATAAAAATGGCATGAGTTCTAATTAGATCGTTTTTCCTTAGTCTAGTTATATATTCTATTTTATAATATTTAGCAATATGTCTCAAAATCCTCATTCCCTCACCGTTCAACACAGTTGTTATACAAGCCTCCATTTTTATGGTTGTATTTATAAGAGAAAAGAATTTATAAATAAAATGTACAAACAGATATATTGAATAAATTTAAAAAAAAAAGTGCTTAAATTACTGGGAAACTGTATTTAACTTCTTTTTATGACGATAATTCTTTATATAATCACTAAAACATTTTTTACGTGTGATGGAATATGTTTCCTTCCTATTTTTAGTAAGAGAAAATAATTTTATAGATTTATTTTCATTGCACACTTTACATGTTTTTGTTGGATAATTATCATGATTTTCGTTTACATTATCTAATGCTGTATTGTGAAATTTACTATTTTTATACTTTTTGAGAGATGTATTATAAATATATTTTCCACATTCGCACTTTACACTCTCTTTTTTAAATTCATAACCACTACTTGCATATTCACTATAAAAAATTTTACAGGTGTTAAAATGTTTATCTTTTGTATGTTTATGCGGTGCAAAAATTTCTTTGTTTAATACTTTGCCATACTTTTTACATTCTTTGTTATTATTTTCCATTTTATTTATTAAGAAAAATATTTTATAAAGAGAAAAAATATTTTCTTTAATTTGGAAGTTTTTGCGGTCTTATTAAATTTGTTTCCTTTTAAATAACGCTAACCAAAATTGGAGGCTCTGCTCAATAAGTTGAATAATTCATATGAATGATTAAACTATGTGACCTCGAAATTGATAAATAATATGAAGCTACAGAATTTAAAATTTATGAATCTATATTTGGCAAAAATATTAATTGCACTCTAGACGGTAATTATAAAATCACTTTACCAGATCGTTGCGTTAAGATAGTCGAAAATAGCTTAAAAATGATTAATGAGGAGCGAGTTTTTATGGTGTATAAAGGTTTAAAATAAAGGAAAAATGTAAAATCTGTACACGATATTGAGATAAATATTTCAATTCCATCGATTAACTGTTTTAATATTTCATCTTATTGGCTTGTTTTAGCCTTAAATTTGCTTGATTTTTTGCATAATTTTGCTTGTTTTAGCTGTGTCAAATCGTGTGCGCACATTTTTGGAAAACTGCAAAAAAAAAAATTATTTTTTTTGCTTAAAATTGCCCGTTTTTGAGAGCTCCTTTTTTAAAAGCTCTTACATCAGATTTTGAGTTTTTAACTTTTTCCTGTACTTTCGTTATAAATAGCAAGAAAAGTTGATGCTTTTTTTTTTTGTTAAAATTATCAGAAAAATCGTGCTGCGCCAGGACCCCCAATATACATCTACTATGAGTGTATCTTTTAACATTATTTCAAATTACCATATAAATTGTTGTGTTAGTGTTTAATTTTCCCTGTAATATACCAGTATTATAATAGAGTTTAAAATGACAGTAATAGAATGGGTCAAAAATTTCAACAATTCAAAAGTCACGAATATATTTTTTAAAACATTGATATAATTGTTAAGTTCTTATTAGGAAATAAACTCTCGTATAGGCGGGCGCTGTGGTCGAAAATCGGGTAAAATGAGGGGGAAGGGCGTAATAGCAATGGATATGCCCTAATTCTCCCCGGACTCGCCAGCATGCAGGGGCATTGCTACCATGTGTTTGTACAGGTTGAGTTCTTTAAAAGAGGCCCCGTGGGACACGTGCCTAAAGGAACGAGGGAATGAGGAAATACAGACCACGGGGCCTATTTTAGAACTCATCCTGTATATTCTAGAATAGTGATTTACTACTTCAGCTTGTAATAAGGATTTCATTACTTATGGTCAACTCCTTGCGTCATTCTTTTCTAAACATATGTAATTTGAAACCTTGGCCTACATTAAAATAAGCGTTACATTCGCATATAAACTCACGGCACAAACTTACAACACGCAGTAAGACATGGAGTTAGTGTGAGAGGATTGAAATAGACTTGGGTTTGGTGAGACTTACTATCCACCCTTCCCTGGGCTTTATTCTTTTCCAACTTCCCAGAAAGTTTGAGACTTACTATCCACCCTTCCCTGGGCTTTATTCTTTTCCAACTTCCCAGAAGGCGGTGCCAATGGACTCGCATGTGTAACTAATAAAGCTCAAGAGTCTAAAAATATAAAACGCCTGCTGTGTAAACACTTGAAGACCGAGGAGCTGTGCCCGTTTCCCGTTAACCAGGATGCACTTGCAAGTAAGGCCCTACAAAAGTTGGGGCTTAACGGGCATGGGACATAGTAGATGGCCACGAAGCAGGGCTGGAGTGGATATCTCCAGCGGAAGACGAAGATCTGCGGGTATGTAGGTCTCCCTCTCCTCTTCCCTTCGCCATGTTTACCACACAAGGTCCACGTCTGTGGCTATAGCCTGGAAGGCTATGTGAACCCCATTGCTCCTAAGGTTTTCAGCAATTAGTATTAAAATTATTACATAAATAAATTTCGTGAGGAGTGCACCCAGGTGTGGAGGCGACACCTTCCTAACGACGGACTTTCCAGCTGGTGCCCGTCGCTGCCCGACATTGCATGAAATGAGACCCTAGGGTGGAGCGGCGCTGGAATGCAAGGGCGGTGGTAACGGGAGATCCCCGAGAAAACCAGCTGACCAGTGGCATCGTCCGGCACGATTCCTGTATTCAAGAATCCGGGAGTGAACCCTCCGGGGATCGGATCCGGAGCGCCGTGGTTGGAGGCGAACATGCTAACCGCTCAGCCACCGCTGCCGCATTACAATTATTAATAAATCTTTAGTTATGACGAAAGTATATCATTGTTGTAAACTGTAATGCATTTTTTATATAATCAAGCAATTTTTCTCCTAATATTCGTCATAATTAACACTTGTGTCAGCACCGTTAACGCCTGTGTAGTCTCCCTTCTGTATAGTCTGTTCACTGTAAAGTGAGCGCTTTTGAAAGCCACGTAGTGTATTCCTCCGGCTCATGTAAAATTAGCAGTGCCATGGGCCTCATCAAATTATCCATGCCTCGGTCAAATGAAAATGTGAAATTATGAAGAAAGTAAATACTTTACAAATCTGCTCATTTTTACTCTTCTGTGCAACAAAAAAACAGAAAGTGAAAGAATTAATTTTAAGTTATCACAAATGGTTACCTAACACTTTTTATTCGACGTTAAGATATGGAACTACTTTCCATCCACCGTTACCAACTTTACTGGGCGCGTGTTACTCAGCGCGACCATTAAAATATGTGTAGATAGAAGCAGTGCCTTTTTTTCTAAGGTTGATTTCAAAAGTGCTCACTTTATCGTGGGGAGCTTTAATCACTGTAATCGTAAAATGAATAAGGTGAAAAGCAGTGTATAAAATATACGCTGATATTATTATTAAAGTAATTACTACACGGAAGAACGAAATTAATAACGAAATTGAGTTTTTGCTGACAAACAATTTATTACATACTTAACGACGTCTATGTTGAATGACAACAAAAAGCTAGTTCCTCCGGGCCGGATATGAACCAGCGACCTATGTATTACCATTTTGTAAAAATCTACAGTCAATTACTCTACCAGCTGAGCTATCAGAAGTAAATCTCAAAAAATTTTAATCTTCCCTTGCGAAATTTCTAGGTACGCCACTGGTCTACGTAGACTTTCCTGGGCTCGAACTACTGACCCCTGGTGCACCGGCCATCGTCTGACAGCCGTGAGTGAGTCAAAGCATGTAAACTTAGCGCGGTTAATAATGTTCGCACCGAAAGCTAAATTTAAGCACAATTAATTTTCACATTATTAATTCTTTCCCGGCATTTTCTCACTGTTGTATTATTAAAGTTGCGAACATAATAACGTATGAAAATGATCGGCATTTACGGGAAGTTGTAATGGTTTACAAAATCACAGTTCTTCAAAAGTGGCTTTGGCCTAAGGGTAAATACAACTTCACGTCAGTATCTTACAAATGGTCTACTTTCACATACAACGTATAACTCCAACGGAGGTCGGATGTTCCATGGCCCTGGTAGCTCAGTTTGGTTAGAGCGGTGACTGTAGATCGTTATTAAGTGGAAATCCATAGGTCGCTGGTTCAAATCCGGCCGGAGGAACACGCTATCTTTTATCTCGACATAGACGTTTAAGTAATAAATTAATTGTTTGTCATAAATTTCGATTTCATTATTAATTCTGTAGTTCTAAGCAATACTTAGTTTAATAATAATTTCAGCATATGTATAGATTTATACCTTGCGTTTCCTCATTCATTTATGATTATATTAACAAATGTTAGGAAATTAATTTCAAGTAGTTATTATATTTGTAACTTCATTAACGCAATTAATTTAATAACACTTAGCGCCTATTAAGACTTCATGTCTTCATTCTAGTATGAAGAGTCTAACAAGTAAATAATTTTTAGTTGTGTTTTCAAATATTATCTTCCCCTTAGCATGAATCAACCGAACCTCCGGAAGGGACTTGCCGCGTAAATTCTCTGAATAAATATTTTCTTGTTGTGCTGATAACTTGGGACTTGTTTACTGTACTTGCAGATTCACATACTACTTTCTTTCACTGTTTGCTACACAAAAAGCGTCGTCATCAGGTCAACAGCTGACACACGCACACTTCGGGGAAAAGTTCAGTTGCTATCCGTCGGCCATGGTAGTGATGCTATCAGGCACACTTGCAGCCTCTCGCTTCCGTTCTACGTATCGCAATGAAACAAAAATTTACAATCTACCCGTCGTATTTAAAGGCCGTTCATGATAAAGTGAGCACTTTTGAAACCAACCTTACATAAAAGTCACTGCTCCTACCTGCATATATTTCAACTGGCGCACTGAGCGCCATGCGCCCAGTAAAGTTGGTAACGATGGAGGGAAATTAGTTCCATTGCTAAGCGCAGTATCAAATGTATTAGGTATAGGCGGTTCACTGTAAAATGAACACTTTTGAAAGTCCTGCTTTAGATCTACTTGTATCCACGTTGTGTATTCTTCCGTCTCATGTACAATTAACATTGGCATGAGCCTCATCGCTTTCTTCATGCGTCGGTCAAGTGAAACTCTGAAATTATTAGAAAAGTAAACTTTTTAAAAATCTGCAAATTTTTACACTTCGACGCATTAAAAAAAAACAGAAAGCAATAGAAATAATTTAAGTTATCACAAATGGTTACCTAACACTTTTTATTCGACGTTAAGATATGAAACTGCTCTCCCCTTCATCGTTATCAACTTTACTGAGAGCATGTCACTCATTGTGCCCGTTAAGATATATGCAGGTAAAGGCAGTAACTTTTTCTAATGTTCGTTTTTAAAAGTGCTCACTTTATAGTGAGCAGCCTTTAAACATTTGTGATAACTTAAATGATTTCTTTCACTTTCGTATTTTTTAATGTATCTAAGTGTAAGAATGAGCAGATTTGTAAAATGTTTACTTTCCTAATAATTTCACAGTTTCACCTGACTGACGCATGAATAAAGTGGTGAGGCCTAAGGCAGTGTTAATTTTACATAAGGCAAAATAATACGCAACGCGCACACAAGTAGATCTTAAGCAGGGCTTTCAGAAGTGCTCAGTTTACCGTAAACAGCCTATATCAACAAGTATGAATTGTGGACGTTTACAATGCCTTTAAAAGAGATCTCATAGACTTGAACTTGTCCTGAACTACTATACCTTCTTCAAGAGAGCTTTTTTTTAAAATAGAGTTTCCATTTTGATAATTAAACTCAGTAGTTTTTTATCCCGCCTGTACGTACTATCAGTAAAATTATTTAAAAATGAGTCGTACAGTGGTGAGAAAAAAAGTAGTGTTTTAAGCTGAACTTTTTAAGGGTACACACAATAATTTGCACGAAAATACCGACTTTAATTTTTTATTTTATTCCTTTTATTTTCGACTGTCTTCTGTGCTAGGTTTTTTTGATGCGGATTACGTTATGATAGAACGCAGAGTATCTTTTTTTTTTTTTACTGCGCGCAGCTTTCCTTTTGTTAATTGTAATCTGCGTACACTACTGGAACGTTTCTAGACTTAATTAAGATATCACCCGCGATCTTACTACTTTCACGCTTGGAGCCTCAACTGCTGTGAAGGACAGTAGAATGCGAATTCAGGAGAGAAACTTGAGGGAACCCAAGAATGGGAAAAGAGGAGTGGCCTAAAACACAGCTACTTTCTTGCTGAATGCTACTTCGTGTCCTAAAATGCTGATATAACTTGTTCCAGGCAAATGGTAACACACCATCGATATCATCCACTTACGAATACAGGTCGTTTTAAAAAAAAAAATCACGCATTGTGAAATGATTGTCAATAACGTACTCAAATAGGCCTACAAGCAATCTCAAACATAATTAATATAAACTGTTTGCTTCTAGGATGTAATTTTAAAGGGAACTACACATCCAACTTACTATGTTAAACTATCTAAAATATTGAATAATTCGAGCCTGCAGTATCGTCGTGCCTGGAATTCTTAAGTGTTTTTCTTTTCTATGGCAATGTAATACAGTGACTGTAATTAGTTAATAATAAAATATGTTTACTGTACTCGTATCTGCACAAGGGGAAGCTAGTATTAGTGTTCGTGTTATTCGTCAGGTACACGTCGAGTTAAATTCACATACTGTGTATTTTTTTAAATGTTCCTCAACACGCTTAATTTCTGTGGATCTGTTACGAGTCATCGCTGGTTTCTCATACTCAATACGCAAGTCCAGCCTTAATATCGGTCGTGAGCGATAGAGTAAATAAGCGGATGAAATCCCCCAACAAACAATCGCCAGAAATATACGTCATACGTCGTTTATGTGGTTTATCCGCGGCAAAAACGTGAACACGTGGCAGCTGCTGAATCAGTAATGAACTTAAACACAGGAACTCGCAATAAACATTGCGTGATAATGCTGAATATTAAACTTTGCTCTCAGCACCACGTGATTCGGTTTGTTTTCTTGCTGACTTTATGAACCGTTAAATGGCAGCGTAAGGCTTCATTTCGTCGTGGTATTTGCACTCAGGGCTGGAATAAATAGGCCTGAGAAAGAACCAAAAATATAAACACGTGACTTGGATGTGAAACTGTTCATTAAAACACCATGCTGTCTTTATTATTATTAGTATTATTATTAAATCTGAATTTTTTTTGTTCACTGCTTGTTCACATTTAGAACAGAACAGAGAGTTTTTAAAATAGCTATATTACAATCAAATAATTCTTAGATTTATCTTGTAAAGAGTAATTTTTTGATTCCAATCAATAATGTTCCAAATGGTAGGCTACTTGTTTACACCCCCTGTTCATGCTCATGTCACGAAACGTAAAATATCGTATTTTTAAGTCATTTGGGTTTTGTCAGGCACTATGGTGCCCTTCTGTCTTGTGCTTGAAATACATAGCAAAGTGTATAAAATACACGTTCTTTTTGAAATTATTAAACGTGCTCCCAATGTGATGATTTACGAAAATATTACCCATTTCAGGTGAAGACTGTCGAGAACTTCCAAAACATCACGCACATTAGAAACAATTTCGGAGCACTCCAACTTTGCTAAAAACTTCTTTTTTTTTTAAAGCGAGGTTTCCGAGAATTTTTGAGTCAGATCATATGAAAATACTCCAGGGCCCTCTTCAAACTTCGAAGAAAAGCCTTAATACTTAAAAAAAAATCGGAACGTTAAAAAATCGTGGTGGACATATTTACGCCAATGATTAAATTGTAATGCACGAAGTCAATAAATCAGAATTGATAATCGTTGCTTTCGAAAATAATCAATTATGAATGGGATTAGACATTGCGTTTTGTTTCCTGGATTAGTTTCCCAAGAGCGAAAAAAACGGGTCGTGGGTGTAAATTCTTATCGATGTGCGATTTTGTGTGGCCCGAGTGAAAAATGTGCTGGAGAAAGGAAGTTGTGTTTGTTTTTTGTAACCACATGCACATATATTTGGATCTTTGTGGTGTGCCGTAGGCAAGATACTCGAATATAGATGTATGTCTGACAATATAACCGCATATGAAAGTAAATAATACGCAAATTGTGTCTGTGCAAGTTGTTGAAAACCATGTCAACAGAATTTGTGCCAACAGCTAAAGGCTATTCACGGTAAAGTGAGAACTTTTGGAGACCTCTCATTTGAAATAATAATCAATAAATATGTGTTTCATTGTAGCCTTAGATGTTTACTTTCCTGTCTGGTGAAATACATACACTGTGTTTATTACTTACGTGGCAATATTGATTTTAAAGAGCGGTGGAAGGATAAGAAGTGGTTGATAGGAAAAAAAAAAAAGTAAGTTGGGGCTCTAAAGTACTCACTTTACCGTGAACAGCCTTTAGCTAACGGTATTAAATTCCCCGTACTAGCCGTTGCTCTTCCCCTCTCACAGCGATCGAGTGCCACACACACACACACTCGCACGCTCTCTCTCTCTCTCTCTCTCTCTCTCTCTCTCTCTCTTCATGCAATACACTTGGCTTGGTCGGGTAGTACGTATGCACCACTAGCCGCGCGTAGCGAAGTTCACGATATTCTGATTCGTACAATGGAAACATCCACCCCTCTTAAGCCTCTCTC